AAGCAGCCCACGCATGGAAGTCGTCCTGCATCGAAGTGACTGTGGGGCCAAGTGGGGCCGTGTGTGGAATAGACTGGGTGAAGAAAGAGGCAGGGGTGTCCCAGCTGAAGAATGAGACAGATTTTATCCTTGCTGTTGCAGGACGCTTTCTCCAAGGATAGATCAGGCCCTTCGAGAGGTAGTGAAGCTCATTGTGGAGCAGGTGTCCCGTGAACAGCAGGGACAGAGAGATGCAGAGAAGGATCTGCAGGACCAGCTCCAGAGGTAAAGCTCCCCAGACAGACAGTTTGCTCTCCCGCACTGCCTCCCTGTGCTCACACCCCCTCCTACTGTGTGCCTACAGTGAGCTTGCAGTGCTGTGGTGGAGTCGGCCATCGATACACGCACCCGGCATCAATCATCTGCCCGGAGCTGAGTACAGACCTGCACCCCCTGCCGGGCCAAGGCCAGACAAGGCATCACGTCGAGTGGTAAGTGGGCTCTCGGAAGCAGTGTGTCATAGCTAGCCGTAGCAAGCCATGGGAAGACCCTCCTGGGCCTGTGGGATGGAGAGCAGCTGGCTGTGGAGCTGGAGACCTCCGCACAGAAACTCCTTCCAGCCAATGGGCGCTGGGGATGAAGGTTCACAGTGCGGCTCAGGCAGCTGCAGGCGGAAGGGTCTGAGGTGCCGTCTGGTGTCTGGCGGCCCTCCCTTCTCCAACCAGAGTCCCTCCTTCTCCTCCCAGAATACAGAGCCCTGAGCACCTCGCTCTCACAGCCTGTATCTGCCCAGGCCGAAGTCTCAGCCACTGCCTGACTCAGTGCCTGGTCAGTCAGCCCCACAGCAGGCTACCCCAGATCGGGACTGGCCACAAGGGCTGCAATTACATTACAGGGACCGTGAGCCTGCTCTCTCTAGACCTAGATTAGCAGAACCACTCTCTTGTACTGCAGAGAGACTTGCAGTGTTGTGCTGCATGTCTCTGCATTCACAAAACTACTGAGCTTTACACTGAACTCCTTAGGTCCGGAGAGTAGTGGTCATGCATGTCGAC